TTTGGAGTTTTAATTGCTGAAAGTTTCAAGGAAAAGTCCTTACAACTAATTAGCATTTGCGGTTTATCTTAGTCAGTTTTGCCTCTCTTATCAGCAATATTTTTCTTCTTTTTTTTAAACTTGTCTGATTCCAAGGCCCAGTTAAAGGTGTAAAACTGCGTGTGAAACTGAGTGATACGTGAAAACTTTAGAGCTTCTGGGACATAATAAATAAATTGAGATTTCTGGATTGCACGTTAAAGATTGTTATGGGTGTTTGGAACCTTTTTGATAGAAAATACTTGAGTTCGCAAGTAATCTTAAGGGTAATATTTGAGTTCGCAAGCAAACCTATCACCAATTGGTGAAAAACAACAAGAATAATGCAAAATCTGGGTGAAAACAGTCCAAGACAATATATTGCGGTAGGAAAATCAAAGCTAAACAATAAAAAAAAAAAAACAAGATACAAGAGATCCTCAATTCGAGAGGAGGATCGTTTCTCCCAAATCTCTAGACAAGAGAGACTAGAGCCAAAGTTGCCAAGAAACCGTAATTGAGAACAAATCAAAACATAATCCCTCCCTAAACATCTCATGCTCTTTAATACAAAAACTTTCCTAATCTAATTACCCTCCCAAGCCCTAGCCGCCCCTCCTTCTCAATTTGAATTCAAGTAAACTAGTGGGGCCCTCAGTATGGGCGGGCAAGACCAAGGAAAGCGGATAGTTTCGGCCTCCTGTAATAGATCTGAGCCGGCTCTTGGGCCGGTTCAACCTGAACCGGCATAACACTTTTCTAGAAGGACATCATCTGTGAGAGAAGAAGAAAAGTTCCACGCACTTTTGTATTGATATGCAATAGTAGATTGTTTACCTAAGAATACACTTTCATTAGTGGTTGCTGTAGAAATCATTGCAGTTTACTGTTATTACTAGTTGCACACCTTCATTATAGTTAACAACTATGTTATTATATTTGTTATCTTGCTCTGAGTGGACAAAACGAATAAGCATAGTCACAGTAGGCCTCTGCTTCCCTCTAGAGAGGAAGAAGGGCCCTTTTGCTCTCTCTTGATTACCACATAGCCTTTGCTTAAAGCTAAGATTCCATGAGCGTGGGGAGAATTGGAGAAATTTCTTTTCTGTTCTATTTAATATAAACTATAGCTATTAATTCTGTTCTGCTTTGTTTTTTGGGGAGACAGGTCACTGATTACCTCTTATAAAAACAGTTGTACTTGGGAGGCAGAAGAGATTGGGCTGCATGTGTTTCTGTTCTTTTTATATTTGTCATATGGGCTGTTCTAATGTATAAAATAAGGCATTAGTGCACAATGAGGTGCTTTGTTTAAGCATAAAATCATGGTTTTCTTTCTTTGTTATACTGTGAGTTTGGAAAAACTGAGAATTATTAAGTAAATAATACAGATTTAAAATTGATACTATGATTAATCTCTTATATGATTAAGGCTCTATTTGGGATATATTTCTTACTGTTTTATGAGCAGTTTCTTAGTACATTTTTTTTTTTGAATTTAAAACTTTTGTACTAGAAAGATGTTTCATAAAACAGTAAGCAAGTTGACTCAAAAGAGACCTAAGTGATTGGAATGAATAAATTAATTTGGTATTGACCGTCTATGCTAGTTGTAGTAAAGTTTATCATCTTCCCAATCGTCGATGGTTTGGGATTCTCCAAGTTCCTCTTCTAGCATCATTTTTGGCCGATGGCTACCATTCACCAACCTATACTTATTGTCACTATTAAATCGCTTTCTCAAGATGTGAACCCTACGGATTGCTTCACTATCCCCTTCGATAATCAATCTCCAACAGTTACTCTATTTAGATTCATCTTTAGGCTTCGTTGGAGACAGCTTTTTAGTTGCTTTTCAAAGTAGCTTTTTAGTACAGAAAATTGCTTTGAAAAATAATAAAAAAACTGTCTCAAGCAAAGTCTTAATTATTTTAATCATAACAAAGGTGTCACATTCTTTTTAATAAATAAGCCTTTTTTTCAAATACCCAAAGTATAAAAACTAATACAAATATTTTAATCATGCAATACTTCAACAGAAGACCATCCACTTAGTCACAGAAATGTTTTTCATTCTTCTTTATCTTCTATTAATCTCTCATTAAGCTTTTTCAACAAATTTCTAATAAGAAATTTAGTTCTATGCATTGAGATGGTATATTTGTTTCTTGCTTAGGAGCAATAGATCTCTCTAAATAAAAATCATAATATTTATTTATTTATTTATTATCATTTTTACTTTTATCAATATAATATACAACTAAAAACATAAAAAATAAAAAGATTTCCTTCTCTAATGATTTCATAACAGTGAAATGTAAAAGCTCTATAATTCCAACCTTTAATGATTTATTATTCTTTAATTCAGTGTCATAATAGCAGAGGGGCCAAAGCTCAAGCAATGTGCAAAAGAAAATTACAATAATCCATTAACACTTTCATCTCCAGTAACTATGTCACTTTTTCTCTTCTTTTTCCCTAAATATTAATTTCCTATTAAGCATTAACCTTAATCTGTAATTCTAATCTCATCATTAACACAGCTTTTTCATCAGCTTATGCTGCCTTAATTATATATAAATATTTTCTTTATGTCAACTCTCCCTATGGTCCAGTTGAATTCCCCACTGATGCAACCCTGGCCCAATCTAGTTTAATTGGTTTTTAGTAATTAAATTCCAATGGCAGGATCATTAAGCTCGTGGATTAAGCGCTAAGTACAGTTAATTTTAATTAGCTTTATGATAAGTGGATGCTAATTAAGCTTAAAATCTTGGTATTATTTCAAAAGATATTGAGCATGTAATCAATATATTACATACTCAGTATATCACATACTTAATATCAATATAATGAATCAATAGTATCAAACAGTTCGGTACTCAGTACTGCTCGGTACTTAGTACTTCACAGTACCGAGCTCAATACTGCTCAGTACTGTGAATACCGAACGTAAGCTGTGTCCGATGACCTGACCCAATAATTTCCCGAGAGAGAGAGAGAGGTGAATGACCACCTTTAGAACAAAGATAGAAAATCAATCTTTCCTCAAAATGTTGTAATCATCATCCTTAAATTTAAGTCACTTACAAGCATCCTTAGACAATTTTTTTAATAAAAAGAATTTCCAAGTAAAATAATATGTTATTTTATATTACTATTTGAATAACCCTAATATATAATAGGTTTTTAACATATCTAGATATTATAGATCAACTAAAGTAGGTGATGACATGTTAAATAATTGCATACTACATTGATGAGTCAAGCATCTATCTCCTTAGCATTTATTGACAAATATTGATATTATGCCCACCATTATGGGGACACATGGCAAGTTGTGATAGGTCAAAGCAAAGCACTTCGAGATTATGAAATTGAACATGATACACTAATCTATCAATTAGAGGAACAAAATTTAATTTAAAAAAAAAAAAGTTAGGATAAAAAAAAAGTATAGCAAAAATAGAATTTTGAGTGAGGGTATCTACATGCTGCCATCCTCTTAATTAAGAGGACCATGACGACATAATTAGGGGTGTCCATTTTTGACACGACCTGAAACATGACCCGAACCCGACCCGGAAAAATCTGGGTTAGGGTCAACCCGGACCTGAAACGGGTCAGGTTCGGGTTCAACAAATCAAGTTGTTTGGTTCGGGTTGACCCAGCAACCCGAAAATGACCCGAAATTGACACAAAAACTCCTATTTGATCCAGAAACCCAAGATTGACCCATTTTTTACCCGATTTTGACCCGGAAATTGAAGATTGACCCAATTTTGACCCGAAAACTAGCAATTTTAGGTCAACTTCGGGTCATTCGTGTCGGGTCGGGTTGACCTGGACCTGAATCGGGTCGGATTCGGGTCCGAAAACCTGACTCGTTTTTAAAAATAATGTTCAATCCCTCAACGGAACATAACGGAGCCAACTCACAGGCGTCGGGCCCAAGCTTTGCTACTCCTCGCGAGCCTTTGAGAGAGGATTCGAGCATGGGGTAGGGGTTCTCAATCATGCTCACCCACCAACCAAACTAAGCCCGGTGGGTTGATCATGAATAGCAAAATTTTAAATATACATAAACGTAAAATATAATTTAGCCAAATCTTTCTTACTAAAAAAAATTATTTATTGACTAGATTTTCTCATCAAAACGACTCATAAAAAATACTCAGCCTCTAAAAAACAACTAGAGCCGAGCCACACAACCACCTTATTTCCACCTCAGCAGAATCTATCACTGCTAATTCAACTCATGCCAGCAACAAATACACGAGAGCGAATACAACGTTACAGAACTCCTTCCCAAATGGACTTCATGTGAGTGATGAGACCACTTTTTCTCTCTCCTTTGACCAAGATCCATTGACATCACTGCTGATGTTAGTTGACAAACATGTAATTTCAGTGGAAACAATTCACACTGGACCTTTTAAGACCCAGAAAAAATTATTATTATTTTATTATTTTAAATAGGTTTAAGTGATTTTTAAATCATTAATATTTGATCATAATGAAAAGGTTTAAGAGCTTAAGGGCTCTTTAGAGTCGGCCAGACAATTTTTTTATTATTTTTTAAATCAGCTTTGTAATATAAAAATTATAATTTTTATATAAAAAACTACGGTAAGAAACAATAATAAAGTCATACCAAATGAAATCTAAGATTACGTTTAGGACGATTTTTTTATTACTTCTTAAAGCAAAATTTTAGCACAAAATTTTAATTTTTTATTAAAAATCTTATTTAAGAAGCACAAACCAAAATCTTATTTAATCTTTTTAGTTTTTTTTTTTTCTTTTGCTTTACAATTAAGAAGATCACGAGGGGCTTGCCTTAGTGTTTAGCGCCTTTAATTCTTTTCAGCGTTTTCTTTCTGTAAAAGTGGAAATGCACGGGGTGGACGAAAGGGTTGCGTTGTTAATTTGAACTTTGGAGGGATTGAATTCAGAAATTTGCAGGAGAACCAAATATGCAATTAAAGTAGAAAGTTGCAATAAGAGAAAGAATGGAAGGGAGATTACGTAGCCTCAGTCAGGCTCTTCTCCTTCTGCTTATAAAACAACTTTAATTTATCATAGCTAGTAGAAACTAAGCACTGCTAATCATGTCAATTAACCCCTAATCCTTCCTTCACATTAAGTCATTAAGAGAGTTCACTGCTCTAGTTCATGGCGAAAACACTCTCAAAGCTTGCCCAAATATCCTCATCATATCCACTCTCCTCCTCATCGGTGGTCACCAAAGCCGCTTGCATTTGTCTCCACCAGTCTCCACCACCTTCTCCGGCGCCAGGGACGATTTTATCTCCGTTAACGCCGTACGCATTCCAGCTATCAAAGCCGCTTTCCATCGACTCTGTTTCGGCCTCCGTTTCATGCTCTGTGTCGCCATTTCTTGCAAACCGCCCCCTGACTCTGGGCCGGCTGTCAGCTAAGGTTTTCCTGCAAGCGTACTGCAACACAGAAACGTTAAAAATTTCATCTTTTTGATCAAGGAGGATTGGAAATGGTGAAAAGAAAAGGGAGAGTACGGTGATCTTCTTGTGAAAGTTCCTTTGGTTGCGCTTGGTTCGGTACCTCTCGATCCTCTCCCTGCGCTCTTCCGCACTGTATCGCCCGATTCGGCCGGCAGCATCGGAGTGAGAAGAGTCCGCGGAGGCAATGGAGCCGTTCATGCACTGAAAGATAGAATTTTTATTCCAGTTTGGGGTTCCAGTGATCAAAATTGGCAGGAGGATAGACGTAAGGGCTCATATGTTTGAAGTATATTTATTGACGACGTAGTGAGACATTATTATTGGTTTCTAATTTTCATCTTTTCAAAACTCTCAAAATTAATGATTTCAACATATTTAAGAGAAAGCAGCAAAATTTTCCACAAGCCTGCAATTTTCTCCCTCTCTTCGCACCTACAAAGCCGAAATGTTATATAAAATAATCCCCTGACGTCTAAATCTAAACGTCAGGAAACTTTCTACGTAAATCCTTTTCAGATTTTTAAAATTCTCTTCTTTTTAAATCCTGATTCAGCATCAACGGGTAACGGAAATACCTGTAGATCACCGGCACTGAAAACGCGGCGAACTGGCTCGGTGTGGAAGCCATGAAAATCGCGGGGGTCGGCTGCGGTTGAGGGTAGAGGAAGGGAGTGGGAGCTGCTGCTCCGTTGGAGGAAGTACGAGGAAGGGAAGGAAGAGGAGAGAAGAGAAAGCGGCGGCGGCTGGTTTCCGCCGACGCCGCCAGCATCGAGGAACGTGGTGAAGGCGGCGCCAGCGTTATAAGAGGGTGGAGAGGTGGAGGACGAGTACGAAGAATGGAACATGGCGGCGGAGTAAGGAGGAGGAAGAAGGGAGGATGAGTGATGACGGAGCAGGGGAGGAGGGAATGGCGGGGCATATATGGGCGATGGGTGGTGGGGACAACGGGACTGGCGACGTGAGAAGGCCCAGGTGGGGCCACAATGGTTGACCAGTGTGGTCCCACCGAAATTTTGGAGGATTGCAGGACATGTGAGGTTAGGGAGTGGGATTTTCCGGCGTGATGGATTTTGATCTTTAATGGATTTCGCGGAAGGGTTGTCGTTGTCATTTCACAATTCACAGTTTGTAATTCGGATATTTTTGGTGGACTTTTATGTTTAATTTTGTATTTTTTTCCCCAAAAAATTTTATATTTTTGATACGTCATCTCAAAATCATCTTGATGGGCACGAATCTCGAGGCAAAATCAGTTCGGAAACTTCAAAAATTAAATTTCGGGAGCATATGAACTCCGATTTCAGCGATCTTATAGTCAAACTGAGCGTCTCGGAAATACGAACCCAACGACACCAAGATCAACCCAATCCGAGCCCAAACGAGTCCGAATCAAGGGTTCAAAGCGCTGTTGGAAAGTTCAAACCGCAATTTGAGTTACCAAACGGTCTCCGATTTTGACGAGCTTATACTCGAATCGAACGGCTCGACGAGACGAATCCAACGAGCCCAAGATCATCAAATTCCGAAATTATATTTTTAAAATACTAAAAAATAATTTTAAAAATAATTGAAATTTAAATTGAATTTAAAAACTTTTGGCCAATTATAACAATATAAAATGTCACTTATTGATATAGTCATATAACACTTGAATTGATTATTTCATGAATTTTAAATAATAATAAAATTTTATCTCACCCTAACTTATGTCAATGTAATCATCCCCACCATTGCTAAGCCTAGCTTCGCTCTTTGGGCTTTGCTAACAAGAAAGAGGCTTCCATCAGGAAGTATCAAGAAAGTCTGGGATAGCGACCTCTAGCATCGACCATGATGACCTTTTTCGTTAATTTTTCAATCTATCTCGGTTGTCTGCAAAGGAATCAATAGAACAAAGACCGAGAGTAACAGAAATTAGAATGTGTGACAAGATCAACAAAATTTTGATGTGAAGCCATCCACAAGACCGGCAGGATAAACGTCCTTCATAGAAGTTCCGATAAACAATATTCTTATTGTTTTTTAAAATTTTAAATATTATATGGGTAAATAATAAAATTCAAATATTAAGTATATTAAATGAATAAGTTTATGTGATATATTTAAATCTCGATTAATTTTATTCTTTATTTGAGCATAATTTGACGCTGCCTGTAATTACTGTGAAAGTGGGGTGCCACTGTTAGCTTCGAGAATTTTTTCAGAAATGATGATTGTTAGATCAAATTCGAATTTAGCCAAATCAATATCTATGAGCTGACTACTTTGACTGATTGACTCATTATCTTTACATTATGCAATAAATTGCAGAATTTAAAGTCAAACTATTTGAAATTGCAAAAACAACCAAAAAAGTTGAGCTCACCCACTACCATTAAAATTCACTTTAAATCACGAAATTTCAACTAAACGAACCGAAGCTAATCCTATCCAAATTATTATATTTATTGTTTTATTTAAAACAAAATAATTGAAATTTAAATTGAATTTAAAAACTTTTGGCTAAATATAACAGTATAAAATGTCACTTATTGATATAATCATATAACACTTGAATTGAATTGATTATTTCTTGAAATTTTAAATAATAATAAAATTTTATCTCACCCTAACTTATGTCAATGTAATCATCCCCACCAATCCACCATTATCTAAGCCTAGCTTTGCTCTTTGGATTTGCTACGAAGAAAGAGGCTTCCATCAGGAAGCGTCCAGAAAGGTTGGGACAGCGACCTCTAGCACCGACCATGACGACCTTTTATGTTAATTTTTCTATCTATCTCGATTGTCTGCAAAGGAATCAATAGCGCAAAGATCGAGAGTAACATAAATTAGAATGTGTGACAAGATCAACAAGAATTTGATGTGAAGCCATCCACAAAACCGGCGAAATAAACACCCTCATAGAAGAAGTTCCCATAAACCTAAATAATAAAATTCAAATATTAAGTATATTAAATGAATAAGTTTATGTGATATATTTAAATCTCCATTAATTTTATTCTTTATTTGAGCATAATTTGACGCTGCCTGTAATTACTGTGAAAGTGGGGTGCCACTGTTAGCTTCGAGAATTTTTTCAGAATTGATGATCGTTGGATCAAATTCGAATTTAGCCAAATCAATATCTATGAGCTGACTACTTTGACTGATTGACTCATTATCTTTACATTATGCAATTTCTGTCCAATCAAGAATCGGGTCAACTGGTCAAGGGGAGAATAATGGGTCAATATTAAATAAAAAGGTGTAGAATGTAGATATATCTAGAAGAAAATACAGTAGATATATCATGCTTCATATATAAATGATTAAATGAATAATAATTGATTAAAGGAGAATATTATATCTTTAATATTGAACTGCATATTTTTTTATTTTTTTTTATTTTTTGTTTTAAATCCTACATCGAATTTGAACTGCATATTTTATGATTTATCATTTAATTAGTATTTCATGAAAAGAAGTGATTTGAGATATGTGATTAAGTTCACCTAATTTGTTATGTTATTTAATAACAATGAATTGATAAGATTAACACTTCGCTTCGCTTAAGAGAGTCATTATATTATATGTGAATAAAATTTTATTTGGGGTAACTTTCGTACTGCTTTATAAAACGATTTTCTAGGACAAATTTTTTGTGCTAGAAAGTTGTTTTAGAAAGTAAGAAAAAAGCTATCTCAAATGAAGCCTAAGTTCAACTTAAGCAAGAAAGTAATAATGTGTTACGAATGAGTGATTGAATGTTGTTAGTGAGTTATAGGATGTTATCAATGAGTAGACGTCTAGAAACTTATCTAAAATTTAAAGAATTTTTAAACATTTCTCTTAAACCAATGAATGATGTTGGATCCAAATTTAGTCGTGAGCATGTTTTGATTAAAAAAAATAATATTAAAGTATATATAGTTTTGAAAATATATTAATTTTCTTTGGGAGAAATTAATTTTGAAATTTTTTGTTTTGAAATCGAACGCAATATTAGGAACAACATATATCGTCTCAAAAAGACGAGACTGTCGTTCATTAATAGGTTCAGATTACAAAGCTTTAAATGATCATAAATTTTATAATTAAAATCAGGATAATAAAATGATATATCTCTCCGAGGAAAGAGGATATCATTTTATTATCATCCTTTTGAATATAAGCGATAATATCGTTTAATTGAAATTTCCAAAGATAATAATTAGAAGATTTTGGAAAATTCATTTTGAAAATTAGATCTGGGTTTTAAATCTCCTACGAGCGCAAGCCCTCGTAGTTAATTACATCGTAGGAAATCGGAATTTCCTAGCGAAAACTCTCGATTAAAAATAGGGTGTAAATTTTATTTTAAGATTTCAAGGCTTCGATATCAAAGGAGATAAATTGGGTAGGAATTTTCAAAATGGGATTTGGTTCAATGTTGAGCACTTTATTTCTGGAGTCAAGAAAGAAAGGTAGAGGCACTTGAGATTCTGAAAAATTCAGAAATGCACCCAGTCTATCCTAAAGTGTTGGACTCGAATCAGATTGAAAGTGATTTAAGGTTCAATGATCAATCTTTATTAGACATTGGATTCAATCCGGAGGTTGAGGTCTTATAGCCCGAGCTTGCCTCAGAACTAAGTCTTAAATTGGGCATTTAAAAGTGCCCCGAACTAGCTTAAATGCAGTGCGAATCTGGTCTTACCCGCTCCGCCTGGATTGGGGAGCCAGCTAAACCACCTTAAATGATTTAAAACATGTATCAAGTCATTTTGATGTTAGAATGGATAGGGACGTTATTTAAGAAAAGTTTTGAGACGGGACCGACATCTACAGCGGATCCTAATTGGCCCCTTTGACTTATGTTGGGTTTAATGCTTAAGCTAATGTAATTAAAGATTTAAAGATTTTTAAATTAGTTGCTAATATGATGCATGTTAATCGACTCGATTAAAAATTTAATTTTATGAATGCTATGAAATGAAAACTTCGACAGGGTCCCGGGGCTTACTTCTTAAACGTTTAGAGTTTCTATGTGATCTTAAAGTTTTTAATTTGATTTAGTAGAAAAATTTTTATTAAAGTCCTTAAGAGCCTACGATCGGATTTCAGGTCAAATCAAAGTTGGCATGCAGGTAAAAAACCAAAAAAGCAGGATCTCTAATGCGCAATCAATTTAAATAAAATCAATCAAGATTAAATATATCAAATTGAATGTCCGTAGGCAGTGCCCCCTTATTATTAATCATAGAATTTTCAGAAAATTAAAGTGGCCGGGCACCACTGACTACAACCCAGATTTTATCTTAAGACTCAAATGACTTTTGAGATTTGGGATTCTTCTCATGGTCCATTTCTTTTCTCTTCTCAACGAACATCTTGATTCGTCGGTTCGCGGATAATCCAAATGGAAAGAAACTCTCCCTTGAACGGGGTGTTATCTTTCCTTCTTTTGATATTTGAAGAGTATCCAAACTTGATCTTCCAATGGACGAAGACTCTCCCCTTTTAGGGATGTCTTCTCCTCTTTGGAATTCAAGTTGGATATTATATCGAAATTCCAAATCCACTTTAAAATAATTACACCATAATCAAATTCAATATTTACATTAATTAAAATTGAAAAATCTAGAACTCGAGTCTCTAGCAAGGTTATCCTAATATCAACAAGTTTATTATACAGGCTCAAAGTAGTTTTTTAATATCTTTGATTTCTCAGAATGTTGATATATTTTGAAATTTATAAGTACTTCAACAGATGGCCAATAATAACATAAAAAACATCAATCCAATTTTCTAACTAGCAACAACATGCAAACGTGAAAACTTCAGAAAATCGGCACACAACGGAAAAGTAAACACCGGGCCTAGCCTAAACTAGAGTTGGTTATCTAGCAAATCAATTC